AGCACTCTTTGAAGGAGAAATGAAATGCTTCATTAATTCAAAAATTGTTGAGATTGCAAATCAGGAACAGAACATACAGGTCTAGAGGCAAGATTACCAATAATTCATGAGCAAAATGCTATGTTTATGCAACACTAAGGATGAGATTTTAATTGCTTATTACTCTAATTGATTTCATTCAGTTGTTATGGCAACTTTCTCCTCTTAGGATATGCGCTACAGTAGATGCTTACAGGCTTAAGCCAAGAAGTAAGGCTATGTGACACACCACGGTTGCAACACGCATTTTAAGATAAATAATACTCATTATCTGCTTATAGGATACATAGTAGACAGATACCATAGTCAGAGTTAATACCTTCTAGTCTAATTTTTTATTTTTATTGTATGCAGTTTCTCTCAGCTGTCCCAACTGATGACTTCCATGCGTACGTCCACCACTATTCTCGGTTTCACTCTACTCGGCACTCTGCTTCAGCAAAAACAGTGGCCATTTTGTGAAGCTAGTTAGTAACAGCAGCTTTGTCAGCACCTATGTTAGATCTTATCTCATCTATATTCTCACCCCTTCCCAGAAAAAGCTTTTACACAACAGGAATTCAGAGCAAGAACTCCAAACTTGATGGCCGAGACCTAAAGTCAAAAGCCTGCCTTTTGCTGTTGAGAAGATGTGCAGTTCAGTTAAACAAGATGACCCAAGCACAGGCTTTGCTCAGCTATGCTTGCACACCCACTCCTATTTATCCCTCCTGCCCAGTCTCTCCCCAGTGATGGTGGAACTGCTACTCATGGGTAAACATATCCACCAACCTGTGCACAACAAAACAGATCTTGCTCTCCAAGCACGCATTCTAAGCGCATTTTGCTGGCCCCTGGAGTACATCCTTAAAATCTCTTGTGAATCATCCGTCTCACATGCATCAAGTTTTTAGGGAGCCGAAGACAGCAGCTGCGAGTTAGACTTTGTTCGGAAATAAAAACACAGACATTTTCCCTTATTAAAGGCCCTACGCAATGTACATTGAACTGGAAACTGCAGAAGCTGGTTTCTGGTCTTGTCCCAGTATCTGCCAATTCACATTTCGCTCAGCTTTAAAGCCCTGACAGCTAACTGGGATCACAAGAATAAGGCATTGGCCTATTAGTCCAGCCCCTTCACAAGCAGGTAAAGAAATGGTATGAGATTGCGAGGCAGCACTGACTCTTAGATCTACCAGTTTAGCCTTTCACGTTATGGTCAAGCACAGAGCCTGCTCCAAGCACTGACCAACAGAAACTTATTACTTATTCCACCAGAAAAAAAACAACCAGGGAGCTGTTAAAGACCAGGCCTGAAGATCCCAACTGATTTATGCTAACAGATTTTATTTCTCCGTGTCACTTGTTATGTAATCAAGTGGTGGAAAAGTCAAGTTTCCTGTTTAAAAGGCCATTTATCATGATTCAATTACAGAATGGTAATTCACTAGGAACAGAAGCAGTTCCACTACCCATCCCTTGCGGCCCAGTTCAGCCACAGGAGAGCAGGTGAGCAGAGGGATAACATCTCAAGATCCTCTCAGAAACCAGGGCTCGTTGACAACGATGCAAACCTTCAGCTCTACCCTTTAAACAGATGAGGCAAGGCGCTACCTCGCAAAGGCACAGGGAGCAGAAACGGTCCGTTTTGGCTCCCTTAGCCTCCACCTAAGCCAGTCTTACTGACAAGGCAGTTATGAAAATGAGCATGTATTTAAACTTGAGACTGCAAGCGTTCAGAGTTTCACCTTGCGGTACAGGCGAGCCCAAAACAGCACTTAAAAAAACATGCACAGGTCCGCCAACCACCAAAAGCCCCATTCTTTGAACTAAGCTAGGCAAACCTCCTTTGACGGATACACAGCTATCTGACCTGTCAAAATCAAAGCTGAGCTTAAATTATCAAACCACAGAAGTAAACCTGACAACGTTCTTGCAAGCAAGCCTCTTTTCATGCCGGGACAAACTTGAAAGGGGCTGGATAGTACACCTCAAGCTTTTATTAAACAAGACTAATCTCACAAGCTGTAAGTAAACCCAGGGACATTGCCCATGGCTTCCTACCTTTGTAACAGCCCGCCTACGCAACGCACACATTATCTGCCTACTCCCAAGCGAGGTGGTTGCTGTACTGAAGCAACCCGAGTGGGCACCTTTGAAGTAGAAGCTGAACATGGTTATTGCAGTAGCTTTCATGTTCAAAGTGGTCACGACAGACTGCAAGGAATCCATTGCTCTGGAAACATTGCAGTGTGTGTTCCAAAGATGAACAGGAGTAGGGAAGTGATCGTGCCCCTGTACTCGGTGCTGGTGAGGCCGCACCTTGAATACTGTGTTCAGTTTTGGGCCCCTCCCTACAAGAAAGACATTGCGTTGCTGGAACATGTCCAGAGGAGAGCAACCAAGCTGGGGAGGGGTCTGGAACACAAGTCATACGAGGAGCAGCTGAGGGAACTGGGGTTATTTAGTCTGGAGAAGAGGAGGCTGAGGGGAGCCCTGATCGCCCTCTACAACTGCCTGAGAGGAGGCTGTAGGGAGGGGGGGGTCGGCCTCTTCTCCCTGGTAACAGATGATAGGACGAGGGGGAATGGTTTGAAGCTGCACCAGGGCAGGTTTAGGTTGGACATTAGGAAAAACTTCTTCACCGAAAGGGTTGTCAGGCTCTGGAATGGGCTGCCCAGGGAGGTGGTAGAGTCCTCATCCCTGGAGGGATTTAAAAGAAGGATAGATGAGGTGCTTAGGGACATGGTTTAGTGGTGGGATGGCAGGGTTAGGTTAAAGGTTGGACTTGATGATCTCAAAGGTCTTTTCCAACCAAAGTGATTCTATGATTCTATGATTAGCTAATTGACTTTGGGTGGTACACCTGAGTTATTAGACAGAAGGGAATTTCATGCAGAACTTGGAAATACCAAGTGTCCATCCCCTCATCTGCTGTATGTGGGAAGCAAAAAGCCTTGTAGCGTGTTCCTGTGTTTAAAAAAAGAAGCTATGAAGGCCATAAAGGAAAAAAACCCTGAGGATTATTTTAACAGTAGCAGCAGCCCTATTCTTCCCACACACACTCCCTGCCAATGAGTGACAGCGCTCGTCATCAGCCTCACACCACCCTATGCATTCCCAGCCTACACACGCTGCCCCAGCACTAGAATATCAGAGGTAGGATTTCCCTTCGCAGCAGCAGCGGCCAGAGCTGGAAGACAGGCTGGCCTGCTTTCTCTTGCTCCATCCCTTGCACAAGAAAGAAGGAGGACAAAGGAGTGAAGACCTGTATCAAGCTATAAGGTGCAATAGCTCTATCGTGATGCTTACAGCCATCTCAGAGCACACGTCCCAACTCACTCTTTCAGTCTTCCTAGGGCTGGGAGCATCTTTCCAGCAAGAACCATTTATGGCCCCTTACTCCTTAATTTTTGCAACATAGGCAACGTTTGGAAATACTTTGGCAAGATGGGCGGGATGAGACAAAAAGGAAACGAGCTCAAGTTTGCCTTTTGATGAGTTATTGTAGCTATTTCAGCTTGGAAAGATGCAGACACATCCTGAGACCAGGTTTCACTCAGGAGACTGGGAACAGCAGCAACCACCAATCCAGCAAAACCCCCAACGCTTTGCCTGTCATGACCCCTAACTTAACCACTAGTGAGAGCCCCCATTTGCTAGATGTGCAAACACACCATTAATACTCATCCCAGCACCACAGAGCCCAGCTGCAGCTGGGGGATAAGCACAGGACACCTCCCACTAGCTTCTAAAAACCAATGGGAGCAAAGCTGAGAAGAGATTCACATCCAGTAGCAAGCCATACAGAAGCCTCTCTCTCTTTGCAAACTGCTCACCAGAACTTCTGGGGAACCTGGAAGACAGCTGCAGTACCACACAAGCTATACAGAAAAAAACCCACAAACAAAAGCAAGCCAAAAGCTTGAAGTAACCAACCGTAACTCAGACCAGTTAACAAATACAGCACTTGGTTTATTTTCGTTCTCAACTGAAACAAGACTTGGTTGGTTCGTTACCTGTGACCCAAGTACTCTATTTCAGCAGTGAGCTTCCAGACGCAGAGACTTGCAGTAAGAAGTCTTCACATGTACAGTATTTATATCGGACAGAGTACACAATAAATTACTATCTACATGCAACATAACTACAAAAAAGTTACATAGAACGTAAAAAAATACAGTATTTTCTGCTCATTTTTTGTTTTAAATTTTTTTCTGTACATTTTTTCATTTACATTTTTATATACATTTTTGTAAACCTTTTGTGTTTTTAAAAAACTGAAATCACATAACAGTTATGAACTTACGGCACCGCTCTTACCTTTCTACAACAATGCTTGCATCTACAGAACAGCCTTTAGCTTGTTTGCTCCTTCATTTCTACTTTGGCACCACACTCCACACCATTATTCTGAGCTAATTAGTCTGCTTGCTACCTAGCCGGGCTCTCAATACAGAGAAACGCAATCGTACTTCAGTTTGTGCTTCAATAAAAGAAGTTCAGAAAAAAACCATTACATTAACTACTTCATCAACATCACATTTACCTGATATTACTGCATAATACCAACTTTTCCTGCACTAACTGCTTTACATAAGCATGCAAACAAGTCTGATTAGGACTCAATCAATAACATGAATATACTGAAAAACAACTACAAGGGTTAAATATCAAAAGGAATGTAGACTTATCAAGATTTACGTGTTAATAAGTCTAAGCTAATAGTATGGAACGACATGTTAACGTGTTAAGATTTTAATCACACTGAAGTATACAATATGAATTTCAGTGAAAAACATATGTATTAAAGAAAACACAAAACCACTCCCTGCCACACGCTTTATACTTTCCTTGAGTGAAAACTAGTATCAACTGGAAACCTCCTTCTTGTCATGCATACTCCTGTTGTGAAACAGGGATTCCTGAAGTTTATAAAAAC